AATTCTACAGTGTCATTTTGTGAAGGCAACCTTATTTCCCTCACTTTCAAGTTCCTGGGAGACAACACACTGCACTTCCTAGCAAACAACAGTTTGGACTAGCAACCCAGACTGGAAGACTCTGAAGCAATTCCTCTGGAATATGAATGAGTCTGCAGAATATTTTCATACCATTTCTGATCTCCTCTTTATGGCATTTTAGAATTAAGCGCTCCCAATGGCTTCACTCTGACTGGGGGATGATCTACTCACCTACTTGATGGGTTTTTCAAACCATCTATCACAATGGTGGTAATTTTTCCTTGCATTCTGAAGCATACCAAATCCTTATCATGTTGCTTCCCTCATGATGGAAAGCTGCAAGCCTGCCATTGGCTCTCAAAGGAGTTATAGCTTTAGCACTGTCTTACTTAATCTGCTTCTGCAGATTGGGTATTTATTTATTTATTTTTGAGATCTCTACCATTTTGACTTCTGTAAGCTTAATTACACATCCTTTAGCTATTTGTTTGATGAAGAAAAGCTATCAAAAAATTTCTCTTTATAACATTATATAACTCTATCATATTCTTGTCTCTGTTTTCAGCAGAATTCCATTATAATAAATATTAACATGCATGTAAGAATAGGAAGGACTGAACAGCCACCAGCATCTTCCTACCTTCTTTCTCTCGTAGCACATGGTGACATAATACCCCTCTGGTTTACTTGTATGCATTTCTATAGCATAATGACATTTTAATTCTTGAAGCACCGGTGCTAAAATCACACTCTATGTACTGCAGAGCCTCTCATTAGAGGTCACCCACACCTGTGTTTTCTTTTCCCAGGACGCATCTACACTGCTCAGACAGGGACTGGGAGTCGCATGCTCTAGTGCTGCATACAAATGGGTCAGCTTGGGTGCCTGCAGCTCCCTATGTCACTTCTGTGAAATGATGGCTGAATTCTTAACTCCCCTTAAGATCTCAAAGCTTTACCAAACTTTGATAATTACCTTGTGTTGGTTTCCCCCTTCCTTGTTTGCTAGTGTATTTTTTATTATGTACTGCATCTATTTATCCTTCTGGAGTATCATTGAGGTTATTCAGAGAATGATTTAAGCTAGTGGAATCTAAAGCTTTGGTTCTTCCCTAGACACATTTAAATAACGAAGTTCAATTTCATATCTAACTTTAAACATTAAGGTTATATGCTTAGTATTAGAGAGAATTCTTAAATTTCCTATATGTCCCACAAAACCTGTACTTGCCCATAGGTCATTTAGGGAAAAATATAAGTAAAAGCATCAAAATGGGAATTAAAAGAAAAGGGATGAACAAAAACCTACAAAGAAAATAGGTCAGGCATCTGACACCAGGCAATTTTCCAATGAGCTCCATGTTGGGCTTGACCCAGTGATTTTCTTGAATGGTAAAGTGGTGAGAGGAATCTGTACATTTACTACTTCTTCCTATCAGACTCTTAATCCCAGCAACTTAGAAGGCTGAGGCAGGAGGATCACAACATAAATGTCTTCCTGGAGCAGAGTGAATCACACTTAAAGAGACCTTATCACAAAACAAGTAGACAGAGGGGTCAAATAGCTCTGTCATAAGCACTTGCCAAGTGTGACGGAACCTCATGTCCAATCCCCAGAACCAATAAACTGATATCTTGTGAAACTCTTCTGGATTATACTTTGTCCCACAAAGATAACAGAGACTCTAAAAAAGAAAAGTGGGTGGTCTTGCTCCATCAGTGCTCTCAGAGAAACCCAACTGAATTGCAGAAAAGCAGATAAATCCATCATGGAAGCCTGGACAGATGGTTAAGAGATCACAGAGAGAACAGCCAATATGAGGATAAAGAGAAAGACTGGAAGAAAATATTTAGTTCAAAGGCAAAAATAATCTTTACCAAAAGTTACCACATCAGAGGGAGCATGACAAAGAAAAAGAAAGCTGCAGCTGCCAGCACGTGCCTAGACAATTTCTCCAAGCATGATCTGAGCCATACCATCACTTATGATTGCAGGAGCCACAGTAAAATGGGATCAGATCCTGGGGTCTGGTTTTTATGGAGCCTGAAGACACCTGCCTTTCCACTTCTAGGTTTTCCTGCATTATTTTCTTGAGTTCTTAAAGCATTCCTCAGAGCATACATGTTGCTTTTCTAGTGGATGCACTGGGTTTACTAAGTTCTTTAGTTGTCCACAGACCACCGAAACAGTAAGGTGCTTTTGACATTAACGTAGGAACCATTAGGAGAAAATAACATTTGGAAATAAATTAATAGATATCCCTTGGTGTTCAGATATATTCAATTCCAAAGCTGTTTATTCAAATGAGCAGTTTAAAAATCTTTTCTGAGCAATTACCATTTTTACAGACATGGAATGAAGAGTGACTCATCTGGCGATATCTCAAAAAAACAACAACGCATGGAATGAAGGAGAGCCTGAATTCTAAGCACCCAGTGTTAGGTAATAGCATCTTCATGAGGAAAATAGAATCTCAGAATAGTCTTGGTTGGCATTGTGTGGATACCTGGGATGAACAGGGTTCTCCTGCACTTGCGACCCCAGAGGAACAGAAACACTTCAGCATCATTCTGAAGCATTCTGCAGAAGCAAGCACTGCAGTAAGCCTCCTTGCCAGCTTGTTTATTATTGTGTCTGGTGGAACTCCCTAAGCAGTTCGCCTTGCATTTATGCATGGCCCTCTGCCTCCGTGGAAGTCTGAAAACACATGAAGAGTCTCTCCCTGCTATCTCAACTTCCATTCTCTTTGATGGATTGCAACAGGCAAGCAGTGCCTTGCATGAGAGAAGAGTTTTCAATCATGAGGAAATTCTGAGCTTCTGCAATTGATACTAAAATTATGATGCTGCCATCACACCTCACTCAGTGGGGAATTTGCAAAAATGGAAAAAAAAAGGTTCAGTACCAAGTCAATGTCACATTGCAGTAAAGATAGTTGACTAAAATGTTGGGCTTGGAGTCTAGATGTCCTTTGTAGAAACCACATTTAGCTTAAAATTCAGATCACAGGAGAAAGATGGAATATGGACATTTAGCTTTCCAATTTTGACTGAACAGAGATAAGTAATTAAGCTGAAGTATTATAAACTCTATGTATTTAAGGGCAGAGGACATGGCTCAGTCGGTAAAGTACTTCCTGCACAAGCCTGAGAATGAGTTCAGATCCCCAGTACCCACAGAAAAGACTGGCCCATTGGCACATGCTTGTAATCACTGAGGGCAAGGGCAACACAGGCATATCACAGGGGCTCACTGGCAAGTCTGTCCAGCCAAAACTGGGAGATTGAAGCTGACAGAGAAACCCCGCCTTAAAAAAATACAGTGGGAAGGGATAGAGGAAACCACCTATCATTGACCTCTGCCTTCTACATGTGCAGTCTGAAGTGAGTGCCTACCCTACACACATACACAGGTACACAAACACGTGCAATAACCACAATAATAACCACACACCAACTATCTAAATAAAGAGATCCTTTATGTACCGAATAACTGAAAATAAGACCATCTTTTCCTCTTTCCAGGGTGTTATATACAGCATAATAACCTTTCTATAGCCACCCATTTCTCACATGGCTACAGAAAAATAAATCTTTTATTTAAAGTCTGTAAATATAGAAGCCTCAGAAAAAGGCAAAGTGATCAGTTCAGTTACGCAGAGGGCAGTTGTTAGAAGATAAGTGCTAAATTAGAAGCTTAACGATTCTTACGTTCCCCACTTGTGAGGACACTTCAGTGGTGTGGAGAACATGGCTGACTGACTCATTAACAGCCACTACTTATTGGTTGCATACCTTGTGTCAGACGTGCTTCAGGTTTATCATGTTCAATCCTCACAGCAGTCCAATGCAGTAGATATGACTGGCCACTTAGCAGATGAGCAAATGAGCTTGAAGCAGCTAAAAGTCAGTAGCAGCAGTGCAGGACCCTTGCTCAGCACTGCCTGGTCCACATCTCGTTGTCCCCCATACAGAAACCATCGACTGGGTGTCAAGAGGTAAATCCCTGATATTTAATCAGCAATGCTTCATGAGCAAGCTAAGATAGTAAGAGTAACTATTACAAGAATACTACTTACAAAATAATGGTCTACATGCTTTCCATCTATCAATTTGTATAATCTCCACAATAAATAGAGAGTTCGGAAACCAAGTGAGCATTGAGATTATATAGAACTTGCCCAAGATCACAAGCCTAGTAAGGATTTAGGAGTTAAGGCTACCCTTTGGACTGAGATGTCCTGGCTTCTGAGATTCTGCACTTGGTCAAAGTACTATACTGCTTGGTAGGATGCACATTGCCAACATACTTCTAAGAGATCAAGCCAAACTCTGAAAGAGCTTCGCCAGCTTAGCATGACTTGTGAATCAAAGAGAAGCTGAATAATCGGTGAAGCCCATGATCAATATGAACGATGTAATGTATTCTTGAATTATTCTGCTCAATTAAGTTTCTATTACAGAGTTTAATCCACATAGTGACAAGTAAAAGAGGAATAAAAAGAATGACTATGTGAAATGAATCAAATAAACGTCAAATGATTTTCAGCAGCTAATGCATATACCTTGTAACGGATTTAAAGGGACCCACTGTACATACAGATATATTTGTGCAGGTGCACATGGTATATATTAAGCAGTGTGGTCAGATCAAAAGCCTAGCCTAATATATCTACTCTGATCCACATAGAATTGATCTGTTAATCTTATAAGTAAGCACAAAATGTTTCATGTCACTAGGCATCATTACACTACTGAAGGTGGATAGGAACTTTTCAAATCTGATAAGCTGAGGAGTTCAAGAATAAATGTCAATATACATACTTATGCACACATATTTTATGTAAATTTTCTATACTAATTTCTAATAATCTGAGCCACCAAGTGTTGTATTTCTAAGACTTTTACAATAAGTTAAAGATGTCACATAATAAATAGCTAACAGTTCTTTATTGTTCTGTTTTGTTTTTTCTCTGCAGGTATTCCCAGCATTTCCAGTATTGGTAGTAAGTAAAACAATCACCAAACCAAACCTAGGCTAGCTTTGCTTTGTTGTTCAGCTCCTCAGAGCTCTTTTCTCATGTCCATTTCTGATGCAATAGAGAATTATCTATGAGAATTCAAGTGTCCTCCTGGTTTTAGGTACAGGTGAACTGGGAACACAGATAAAATAGTGACTTGTGCACAGCTCTTGTGTAGATGTGCAATGCCATCTGATGACTTTGAATTCATGAAGGCCACCTGAACAGAGACATGAACGGAGAAGCAATTACTTAGATAAATACATATCATTTTATGTACAGTCCTATTTCACACTTAGTAACCAACAACAGATTGTAATCTCTCTGTGGGACCAAGTTGGGATTTCTAATGTAACTGAAAAGAGCAGAGAGAGTGAGTATCCATGAATGTCCTAAGTGTGTTCATTAAAATTCAAGGAAAACACCATGAAGCCAGAGAGGAAATCTTGTAATGAATTAAAATGTAGGTTTTGTGAAGGCCTGAAAGAGGTGGGTTTCTGATCATTCATCATTGTGAGGAATTAAAGATAATCAGTTTGCACACTGCCCACTCCTCTCTCCTGTTTAAAGTGTTCTGTTCATTCTGGAGCTCTTTGTTTTCTCTTTGGTAGGAAAGGGGGATAGATCCAAAACTTCCTTAAGAAATCTTGTAGTAGAAATCCAAGCAATTGGAGAGAAATCTTCCCTCCATTCTGGACAACCTTGCCTAACATCACTGTTTGAGCAGCTCTAGCTACCACAAGAGGCTCAGACTGCAACTCCTCTTCCTGTCTGAGTGCAGCCTCACCCAATGCTGGAAATGTGCATTACAAACATGCTCGATACTATTTCAGAGCATAATTTCACACCATTTTTTACAGCTTGCCCTTTATGTACAATGTCAAAAAACTTAGAGACACTACTGAAACAATGATTTAAAAAAATACTAAGGAAGCCTCAGTTATGAAGTATAAATGGAAAGAAGACTGGTCCCTAACAATGCTCACTCATCAAAGGCTTGTGCCATGGAGAATGTTCACAGTGTAAATAACAGCAGTTGAAGCATTGCCAAACCCAACACCCTTCTAAAAGCAATTCTCTAATAATCGGGTAAAGAAAGTGACCATGTCTTATACATGCAAGGCCAGTTCCTCTAATTTATAGATCAACCCAATTTACTTAAACTTGTGAATAGGCCCAGGCACTTATTTGTTAAGCATTAGACATGTTAAATGCCATGAAAATCAGCTGCTCTATTATCAGAAGCAGCATTTACATCCATTTTGACCCAAACCTGTGATACAAAAGTGGTCTTGGGGCTACCTTGCCAATGAGGACATTTAATTCTAATATTTCTGCTTTAGTGCTTGGCATTTGCCTATGCATCTAGCCCAAAGTGCTCCTTTCAGGCCTTGACAACTGTTCTTGTGCAATTTTAAAGCAGGGACACAGAAGGGCTCCCGTGATCTGGCATGTCCAGAGTTTCAGAAATGGAAGAGTGGAAAAGTAGTTCTTTGGTGCTGGGGTGTGTTTCTGTTCTGAGAGCCAGTTGTGTGTTGCATGGACCTCTGATTGTACCTGCTCACTCCACATCTCATTTGGCCGCCTCCACCCCATCCCCCACCTTTGAGCATCAGCAGATGTTGACCTTTTACACATTGAATCAGGAAATTGAAGTTTCATTTTGCACAGTTACCTTTGGAAATCAGGGGTGACCTGAAAGGATGCTGTGTTGTTCCTTTTGAAAATGTACTAATCTCTATGACCATGAACCTCAGAAAATTTCACTGCTAATATCTCTGACAAACCCTATGATTCAAAATGATAATCTGTAGGCTGATCACCTCTGGCTACTCATCTTAGAGCACAATGGGTGCTTTTTGGTTTTGTTTTAATTTCTAATAAGCAAGATGGAAGAGCATTCAGGGATCACTCAGTATCACACATGACTAGCTTCCTGTTGCCTGGCTTTTAAGGTAAAGATATTTGTGATAACATCATAAAACACAATATTATCTTCCAGGTGTCTTTAATGGCATTAGCAAGTTCCTTTTTTGTGGCCTTACATGGTGCTTGTTGTGTGCACTGGTGGATTCCTTTCTTCTTCATGGAGAAAGAAATCACATGTAGATGATTCATTGCCAGGCCTAGATGGTGCAGAGGGTATGGGCAGATGGTTTCAAGGTACAAGATAGAGAAGAGGAAGCTGCCTGGATATTTAGCTAAGTCTGGGCATTTTCCAGGGCTTCTCTCTTCATGCCAAAGAAGGAATAGATGAATACAATCCTAATCACTATCTAGGAAGATTCCATCTTAACAAATGAAACCACCCATGAGACTCTGATCATCTAAGTATTTTTATGGAAAATAAATGATGTATATTATCGATGTAAACTATTGATGTAGACGTACCTAACCATAAGTTTACATGCATATGCTATATTTTACAATGACTGGAGGATTTAGCTCTAATAGACTTCAATATAGATTTCATATCGTCAACATCAGCATTAAAATTCAACCACATGGACAGAGTGGCTATCCTTTCTGATCATCTGCTAAAAATATTTTTAAAAACAAATTTCCCACTAAGGTCATTTGTACCTGCTGCTGTCTATCTAGGAAATAGGCTCCTCAAACATCCCAAGATCACATCAGTCATTTTGATGTGCTTTGGCCCATGGCTAAAAAAAAAAAAATGTACTAATCATATTGTCAACAATTAATGAATCCCGAAATAGATCTGTAGCCATTTAAGCTTTTTGACTATTGTTTATATTTAACCTCATATCATAGCAATTCATATACATGTAATTCACAATTTTATTCAAGTGAACATTTGTTGATGCTGATGATCCAAATTAATAGATGGTTTATTGTGGGTGTTTTTTGTTTATAGTGAGAACATAATCATTATGTTCTAACATATATTATCTAATTCTCAGTCCAGCAATGCAAAGAGTTACACTAATCATATTAAACAATATATTATAAAGAGTATAATTAGGTTAGCAAGAACTGTCCTAATGTTTAATAGCTTTGTGGGGGTGACTATTATTTCTTACAAAGGCAGATGATAGATGAGTCAAATGTAAAAGGTAAATCCTCCGGAGAATGAATACGACATCAAGAAGTCTATTTCAAAAATACTTGGAATTTTTAAATAAACACAAAGGAAAATACTCAAAAGAAAAATAGGAATATATATATATATATATATATATATATATATATATATATGTGTGTGTGTAAATCATGAGCTACAGATTATCCTCCTAAACAACTTTTATTTGACTGATGTTATGTGATGGTATAAAAATCAGATAACTGTGATGGAGCAGTTTGACATTCCCTTCCCCCGTAGCCCATTTATTAAATTTGAAACAACAATTCACTTAAGGGAAGTATCTCATTCTCCTGTTTTCTCTTATAATGAGCATTGCCTTCATCACAGAGTTAAAAATTCATCTCTAATTTGATTTAATTGGCAGGACTATTAAACAAGGGAAATGCTACCTGCAGGGATCCATCAGCCTGTTGAGAAAGCTCGGAGATGTTTTCATACTTGAGAACATTTGATGCCAGTTGGAGACCTTGTAGAAGTTGTTTTCCGTACAGCATCCAAATATTTTTGCGCAGTGCTGATTTCTGGTAGGAATTTGAATGGTGAGAAGGAAAACTCACAAGGTTAATCACTTACCCGCCCAAGGGTTATTAATAACCATGTTCACTCCACTCAGACAGCTGCAGTGTCTGTTTGATTTTCCCCCTGTTTTAATATTTCTAAATCCCCCAAATAAAAGTCCCATTGAATTGCCCTTTAACTAATTAGATTTCATATAATGAGGGAAAAAAATCATCAGGCTAGTGTAGCAACATGGCAAATTGCATGGTATGCTACATTAATTTTGAACTGTTTGCTGATGTTCTAGAAAGAAAGCTAAGGTCTCAGGTGTAATGCCTTTTGGGACCGTTTTATCATGTACCCAGTATCCTCATCACAAATCCATTTCATATTTGTGTAACTAGCATTTCATATTCATGAAACCTTTGTTGTTATCCTAAAATTGAATGAACATTAGAACATAGCTGCCTTTTTTTTTAAAATTCTGAACAACATCAAATATTCCAGTGAGAGGGTAAGAATCTCCCTCTTATGCAAAGAATGTGAGAGGTTTACCAGTCTTAATTGGCAATAATTACCCATCTTGAGAACATTGACTTTTTTATGTTTTAACCTTTACCCAGTCAATTGTAGAATGTCAATCCACTTTTTAAGTGTGAGCTAAAAATCTCTACATTTTCTAGTTGTCTTTGTAGGGTAGGATGTTTTCTAGATGGAAGATATATCAAGGTTCCTATAATGAACACTCAAAACAGATTACTATGGATCCCTATCCTGCACTAGCCCCTTTCAGAGTGTACCAATTGAAGTCTCCTTGGATTACAAGTCTTGTAGTGCCAATTACCCATTGGCTGACCAACTGATCATTCCACCTCTTGGGAAAAGCTATACAAAGATACGTGATTTGAATTACAGGGCTATGTCCCCCAAGCTTCTATCAAGTTCTATTTTACAAATGGTAAATCTGAGGCTCAGAGCGACCAAGTAGCTTTCTCAATGTACTATGAACAGGACTGCATATCTGTCTTCATAGCATTAAAAGAAGTATAAGAGATTACATAAAGAAAAAATCTGGATTTATTGACTCCTGCCAAGACTCTTTCAATGTAGTTAAGAAACCCCTTGATTCCTGAATTGAACCAGTTCTTCATAAAAACCCACAGATTTTGGAGAAAAACGGAAGTTACTTTGCTGGTACTTCACTGTGCTGTCAGCAAAACACATAAGCATGGTGAATGAGGAAGAGGGACCACTAACTCTTACCCCATCAGAGCATGTGCTTCTCTACATCATACAACTTCGCAGTTTAGTTAGCAGAGCGCAAGTATATAAATGTTGGGCTATTAAGAGTACAAAACAATATGGGAGCTATGTGAATTAT